TATTTAAACCTTTTTCTAGCCTGCCAGGAAGATTTGGAAATTTGAAAATAAAATCAGGTACAATTTTTTTGACGTTGAAATGGAGTTCGTTTTAAAACACCACCCCTAAAATGTCAACTCTATATGTGTGATAATTACAAAATTTACAGGAGGCCTGATTTATCTTTTGTCACTAGTAGTAGTACTATTTGTTTTGTCTTATTAAAACATTAAGCTACTTGAAAACATTCACTCACTAAAGGAAGTACCTCAAAACCGTAATCACCCCCTAAAATGTCACGTGCACCACCCCTAAAACGTCAGCTAAAACAGGTTGTGTAGCACTCAGAATGTTGCCCAATTATTAATTTTAACCACTTCTGGGACTAATATAACCTATTTCTGAGAGGTACAGGTGTCGACCAGAATTTCTCTCACTGTTGAAAAAAATGGTAGAATTTAGTCAATTTACTTTTTGTGACATTTTGGGGACTTTTTTTTGAATACCCAGAACTTACGGCAAAACAGTAACTCAGTCAACAAAATTTACACCTGTAGTTAGATTATCTCTACTATAATTCAGAGAATTATTTCTGCTGTCTGTATGTATGTACGACCGCCCACGTGCAAATTAGATAAAAAATAGGAAGTTGCATAGTCACCATGGTAACGAGGGTTGTTACACGCACGTGCACGTGCAAAGATTGTAAGAACGGCATTTTTATCGGTTTTGTTGATATTACGTTGTGTTTAGTTCGAGCTACATTGTAATCGGCTGTATTTTCGGTTGTGACGGATGTTTTTTGATGCAAGAAAAACTTACTAACAAAAAAATACTATTACTTTCCTCCCTGTGACCACGGGCTTTCTAGTCTCTACTATAATTCAGAGAATTATTTCTGTATGTACGACCGCCCACGTGCAAATCAGACGAAAAAGCAAAAATTTGCAAAGTAACCATGGCAACGAGGGTTGTCGGGTTGTTACACGCACGTGCACGTGCAAAGATTGTTAAAACGGCAGTTTTTATCGGTTTTGTTGATAGTACGTTGTGTTTAGTGCGAGCAACATTTTAATCGGCTGTATCTTCGGTTGTGTAGGATATTTTTTTACGCGAATTAAACTTACTAACAAAAAAATACTATTAGCGCATTTCCCTGTGACCACGGGTTTTCTAGTCTAGTTATAAACTAGCAATTGGCACAAAATAAATGGATTCAATGTGATTTTAACCTTGTGCAAATTGCATGTTTTAATTGCATTTTTTGGGATTTTTAACATCATCCTGCATTTTGGCAATTTTAGTGACCTGTAGTCAATTAAGCCAACCCAGTAATCGATCTGACCTTCTCTATAGACTATATTTGACAGCTTTTAGCAAAATTGAATGTCAAAAACTACGGTTTTTGGTACTTACTAGTTTATGGTAAACCTATGATATGCCCCCTAAAATGTCATTTTTTTCTCCCCTAAAATGTCAAATTTGTATTTTGTTCGCATGGTGTGCGATAATAGCTCTTGTTTTGGCACTTGGTAATTATTAACATCAACTATTAACGAAATGTGAGTATGCATTGCATCTTAGGAAAAGCCTGAGTAATTTGATCAGGTTAAAATGACATTTTAGGGGGGATAATTAGACATTTTAGGGGATGTTTATTGCGATTAATAAAATAAAACTAATTCCTTGAGCTGCCAAAGCTTTCCAATATTACCATTAGATGCTAAATATTATGTTTAATAGGCTGGTACCTCCATTTTATGGTGCTTGAAGTCTCAAAGCCAGAATCTGATAAAATGACATTTTAGGGGGCAGCCAGGTGATATTTTAGGGGAGGGTAGTAATATTGAGTAATGTATAACTTTCCATATCTCCAGTGCAGTCATATGTACAAAGTTGCTAAAATATGTAAATACCACTATACTAGACCGAAACTGAGTTAATATTAATGAATTCCAGAGTTATAAAATTGTGCGCTTTTTTTCAAAAATAACAAATTCGTACAAAGTGAAAAATGCCCTTATGGCATCATTTAGATTCAATTTCAGGATGTGGCAGGGTCTGAATCTAAGATGAGAAGTACGGACTCGTTCAGGGGGAAAAGTACGTACTTGTACGCAACTTTGAAAAGTCCGACTCATACGACGTACGATTCAGATACAATTTTTTTATTTTTGAATTATTATCATCGGGGCCGTTGTAAAATGTAATTGTTAATTGCCGATGTTAGAGAAAATATACCTGATACCGTTCGCGAACAAATTTAACACAGAATTCTTAGGCCATGAGGCAAGCATTTAAAAGTGAAACAAAAATTCTACAAAATTACAAGACAATTTACTTATTTAAACAGCTTGTTTCTCTTAAAGTTAAAATTTAAGTTAATCGACGATTGAAATATAAAAACACAAGTTTTTGAAAACGCTCAATATTAGTCCGTAACATGCGATTTAGAACTCTTCCATCGATTTCTAGAAGGAGAACTTTTCAGTAGAATTGAAAAGTACGTACGATACGAGTAAATTGAAAAGTCCGACTCATTCGTACTTTTCATCTTAGATGGACACGTACACAATTTAAAACGATTTATTTCCTTTTTTACGACAGAAAGTAATAAACAAACTTTACTATATTCATTAGATTTTAAAGCATGAAGTCAGCTCTTCAAATCATATTTAACCTTTGAGATGTCAAATCAACAACAATCAGTGGGGCCATCGAATCCTGAATTCTGAACAAAAATCGTTGTCTTACCCGCCATTACCCCGTAAAATGTTAATTATAAGTATAAGTACTCACATATCTGGTCGCGACCAAGAATCTTTTGAAATCCCAATTTCCCCCGACAAAGGGTCAAATGGCTAAGCCTAATCTCAAATTCCACCAATCTCCATCCATATGTCCTTGCCCTTGGGGCCCGCTAAGCAATCTGGAGGATGAAATGATATGGAACAAGAAGGTGCAGTTAGTAAAGCGGTCAGAGTTAAACTTAAAGCAAGCCGTCAAAACGATTATAAGTTACTGCCAATTACTTGCAAATGGTTAAGTTGGGACTTAATATCGGACTTTATTTAAACGAACATTACGTGGACGCTGGATCATGCTCTAGCGTTCATATTAATTTCTGCTCGAATTATAACTATAAAGTTTGTCAAAATCATAGTCCCTTCAAATGTTTTCCCAAACGTATTCCAATACAGACTTAATATCCAGGATATGACATCTTTTTAATTTCCGTTTTACTTTTTCCGAGAATTTAATTTCTGGTTTCTCAGTTGTGTCTTATCCAATAATAATTATCGATCCATAATCCATATAATACTATAAGTATAATGATATTAACGGCATCTGCTATTAACACTAGTTGTTGCAAGATATTATTAAATTGTTTCATTTTTACCTCAGATTTGAACCTAAAATTAAGTTTATCCCTAGCATCCACCCAACCTTAAAACATGAGTGAATATTATATAAAATAATATAATAGTAGAAATTTGAGCATCAAAAGTTGCTAAAAACAGTCAGAGAAACTAGTTCGATCTTTAACAAATGTTTAAGAAAGTGCAGCCAGTGTAGCAAACCACCAAATCAGAATGATTGACAGACACGTAGTCAATGTCATACATATTGACCTTGTAGCACCAGGCTAATAAATTGACAGCAGCTATATTTAGCTTTCTCTCTGTATAGTGTAGCGGTACTGTGTAGTATAGGCTTATAGGGTACTGACTGTGTCTAGAAGAGGGGTACTGTGATCCTAGCAGCACATTCTAATCTCTTCGCTTCTTATATCTTTAGACTTTATATAGTAAATTAGTAAAATGACTCCTCCAGATTAGCTGATTAGATCGACTCTTAACCTTTAATTTGACATAACTCACTAGCTGAAGTAGCTCTGATACGTCCGATTAGAACCTGTAAGACTGGCCTCCAGCTGCAGCCATTTTTAAGATTAAAGCAAATAGAAGATGTTCAAAGGGTGTAGGATGTTCAGTTCGACAAAATACAGGTGGAAATTATTTCATAGTCCCTAAAATGACTCCTCCAGATCAAGTCTTAATAGCGGTGTAAGATGTTCCTTAACCTTAAATTTGACATCGCTCACTATATAGCTGAAGTAGCTCTGAAACGTCCGATTAGAACCTGCAACTTTATATATCTTTTCTAATAAATCTTAATTCTCGTGGGGAAGTGAGGTACATTTGTTTACTTTAATAGTATAAGGTTCTGTTGAACAGAAGACTGAGGTGATGCACATTTGTTTACTTTTAATGGTTAGGTTCTGTTCAGCAGAAGAAAGAGGTGCACATTTTGTATTATAGACATTACACAATTCTTAGATTGGAATTAAAAGCAATGAAAGCTTGTATTTGGACAAATTAAACAGTCTATTATCTCGAATAAATTTTTAACATTTTCCAATTCATAACAACTAAAATGTTAAATATTTGTCTCTTTTTTTGGCTGCTTAAACTTAAACGTAAAAACCTCTTCGTCAAAAAAATCCTTTTCATATCAACTTGGTAGTCCCATCACTAAGATATTAATTTTTCAACATTAGCCAAAATTAGCTGCCAATGAACTTATATATGGGTCAGTAAAATAACTGTTCAAAATTATCAAACATTTTTCTGGATCAAATCAGAGTCAGTACTTAAAATGTAAATGTCAAAATGTTTTAAAACGGGTTACTGTTATAGAAACGGGTTTAAAAAGCCCTGGCATCAGACTAATCCCCATGATACGCATCAGAAAAAGTAGATCCTCGTCTCCAAATTAGTAACCAATTAGTAACCAAATTAGTAACCAAGCAGCTGTAGGGAGAACATAGTACTTTGTAGTAGGACCTGGAGAGAAGGTGATTAGTAATACATTTTACCGGCCGCGGAAACGAGAGGGATAACCAGTAATATTATTAGAAATTGATAATTTTTAAATTTTCATATTCAGCAAATCAACAAACCTATAGTTAATAATAAGTGATTATCTTGTTATTAAAATCAACGTACCGAATATGAGTTAATGCTCTCCCTTGCTTTCTTTCCTCTAGCTGCTGTCATCTTCCTCTGCCGGCATAGGATGGTACGCCTTAAAATAAGCTATGATATTCTCCGTGATCGGTGTGCCGACGAAATGATCTGCAAGTAAAATTATTATTAGTTTATTTCTAGCGTACAAGAAAAATGTTTCGCGTTCAATATTACTGGAAACGGCCAGATTTCAACCATATTTACTATGACGCATGCCAGTATTAACCAATCAACTTCCAGCATTGTCCAATCGAACAAGAATCTCTGTCACGCGTCACAACTAATACGGTTAACCTCCCCTGCACCACTATCCAGTCGTAGAACCAGATCTAGAACGAAGGAAAATCTCTAAAAATAATACTTGACAAAGTAAACCTACTCATGTTAATTATTCACTTACCCAACATGTTCCAGTTAGCTTTTAGCTCGGTCAGTTTCTCGGCGGTGAGTGTTTGGTTGAAGTAAGTCTGATCATTTAGTATGTGCCAAATACTGCGAGTACACTCACAATCTCCCTCTTCTTTTTCTTCGTTCTCTTCCTCCGCAGGCATAGGATGGTAGGCTTTGAAATGAGATATGATGTTCTCCGTGATCGGTGTCCCGACAAAATGTTCTGCAAACAAATTCAACATATTTAAATGGTTTATTTAAAAAAGAGAATTGTTGAATAAATTAATCAGGTTCCAGCATTACCCAAACAAAACTGATTGTCACTGTCACATGTCCAAACAAGTGTCCATCACCCCTGCGCCATTATTTAGAACTTAAACGTTTGTTAATGAAATAGTTTCCTTCTAAAGATTATTAAAAATCAATGTGCCTATTAAGATAATGGCAAACCCAACTTGCTTAGTGCTTACTTACCCAACATGTTCCAGGCGGATTTTAGCTCTGTCAGTTTCTCGGCGGTAAGTGTTTGATTTAAGTAGGTCTGATCATACAGTATGTCCCATATACTATGAATGCAGTCACAATCTTCCTCTTCTTCCTCCTCTTCCTCCTCTTCAGCAGGACACCCAGAGTCCACCTCTGTGACATTGCCAGTCCTGTCTTGACTCAGTATGCTCTCCCAGGTGATGAACCTGACTTCCTGGTGCTTCTTTTCTACATCAGAACATCTCCCGCTATTAAACAACTCCGCTACTTCTTCTTGACTGAGCACTTTTCCAAAAACCTCCAGTTTCATCAGCTGCCCACCGAATAATTCATGGTTATGTGGGCTGCTGTCTTGTCCCAAAGTGATGACACCCCCCTCTTCTAATGGAGCTGAGGAAACACTTTTAGATCCTATCAGAGTACCATTATAGTAGGTCTTTATTTCCGGAGAGCTCGTCGACCAGCTTTGACATTGATGAGTCCATGTACCAAGATGTACTTTAACAGCACTTTCCACGCCGATGCTGTCACCGTGAATGTAGTTGTGCGAACCACCATCTGATATTAGGATCTCATCCCCGTGTGTGGACGTTTTGTAGTTAAACCAGTCTCTGTAGGTGCCAGTCAGCTGTTTCTTTACCCATGAACACACCGTTAGGGAGTCTTTGACCTGGCTCATATTAGGTGGAAACCTGACGTAATCACCAACTGTGGTGCCGAACTGCAGAGCCTTTGTTAATAGTTCCTCGGAGGCCGATATAGTGGGGATTGTGCAATGGAGGGCTAGCAGGGCTGTTAGCAGTTGAAAGGACACCATGTTCCTGGTTTAAGATAATTGATAATTCATTTATAAGTTCGTTTGAGTATACGATCTTATCAATTGTTTATTAATAATTACTCGTTCATTTCACGTTCAAATCAGACTAATCATATTATATTCTTATTAAGTAACCCAGACTTTTTTATCTGCATGTTAAGGTACTAAACTTATTCAAATTACTTGACATAATACCCATTTTTACCACCTGAAAAAGTTTTTCAGGTATCAGATTGTTTTTATGGTTTATTATAATTAATTATACCGATAATGAAGACATATTTTTAGAAATGTCTGCCGGTGGGTTACATTATTGGGGCGGTAATCCGAAATCTTCAGAACCTATTTGTTAAATTTACCGATAAATTACCGATCTCCTACTTATTACTAATCAGCTAATTAATAACCTAATCACTTGACAGGTCTGACCGGTGGAGACACGGACCACTATTCCTGCTCACTTCACACCATGGACCTATCCTCCCGGAGTCCCGTATGGAGTCTGGTGACCCCCACTATCTACAAGTGTTCTGAGATAAGACGGTACGGTCAATCTTTTGTCTATAATGAGGACTCGGGGGGTATTGTCGTGATCGGAGGTGAGCTTATTTGTCAAAGGAATTAATGGCAATGCTAACTTTTGCAAGTTATGGCGGCTAACCCGAAACACAGCGGTGGAACCATGATAACATTGCAATTGGGGCTGGATATGGATATGCTGAATACTACTAAAAAAGCTGTTTAGCTGTTTCTCAATTCTCACCCAGTGTTTTTTTCAATGCATCATGTACGGTTCGACAAGAGTTTGGATGTTTTACTCTTCAGTATAAAAAACAAAGTTACCTAAATAATTTTGTATATCGACGAATGATTGCTGGCGTGGAATAAAAACATTCTTATTTTTAAAAATGACCCTATACCTATTTTTACTGCCCATTTTTAAACATGACTCTCAATGGGCTTAAAAAGAAAATGCTTCCTTTTAAAATGTATATCATGTAACGAAATAGATAACAAAATGATAAGTTTTCATGAAGACTATACAAATAAAAACGTACAGTACAAGTTTAAAAAGCGTGGCCCTAACAACTTAACAACCATTTAGTTTGCCTTGATATAATGTAATATAGAAGAACTGAAAAATAATACTAAAGGCTCCATACGTCAATGGAGCTCTCGAAAAGCAAACCACTGAACACTGATGACCTTTGGTCTGAGGCTGATATTAAATAAACTGCTGAGGGGCGGTTCTGACAAGTGTGACTGAAGACATACTACCTTTATCTCCTGACAATGCAGCCCTGTCTACATCTGCCCGCATATTATAATCGGCCTGGTTCTTGGATCCAGATAACCCCCGATACAAGATGCAGAGGGCAATAGTACCTGCTTTCTGGATGCAGAGAGCCTCACTAACAGGGGAATTTCCAGTAAATAGCTTGTCAGTTGGGACGGTTTACAGGGTTTATGGGGAGATAGGCAGGGTGCACGGACCATCTTGGAGCTTGAGACTGCATTGTTACAGCCTCTATCATACTATCATAGATTCACGGGTTGTGACAGGAACTAGTAATTCTACAGTACAGAATTCAACGTTTGCCGTTATATTATAATTATCATTAACAGTAGTATGTGAATGTATACTCTTGCAAACTGGGTCAAATAAGGCCAGATAACCTTGTGACGCATTGAGGCACTGAGGCACTTGAGGCAGCACTTTGAGGCACTTGAGGCAGTTTCAGTTTCCTAGGTATAGCTGGGGAAATAGCCCTAATGTGTCATAATGCAGGGTGGGCCAAAAGTCAGTACCCATACGTTGGGTCTTATACTTCCTCTGTGTTTTATTTATATTTGATGTGTCATAATGCAGGGTGGGCCAAAAGTCAGTACCCATACGTTGGGTCTTATACTTCCTCTGTGTTTTATATTTGAGAATTGAAAATTCGAATATTTTAGACCACGCCCATTCAATATGAAAACACCTGTATTGTTCTCTCTGAACATGCTGGACGCCTAATTTTTTCAGAGACGGTAGATTATTAAATGTTGCATCTGGTCTGAAAAAATTACGTGAAAAGGATTTGAAATGACGAAGTAATCAAGCATTTTGTGTATCTCGTTAACAAAATTGACTGGGTGATTATGTGACACCGTGAAACGACACCTTAATTGGACAGCCTTAACGATTCCCATAATGTTTAACAGTTTAACGGGGTGGTTAACGGGGTCACCTTATCACATGATACTGATAAGGTTAGCCAATCACCTGATCACACGTAATGAATAAACTCGTTATGCTTCGTATCTCGGTCATCTGAGAAGCTACAACTTTCATGTTTTCATGAGAGTTGAATTCAATAAAATTTGGCTCGATCCGACTATCTAAACTATCAAATAAATGCGAAAATGAGCCTTATTTAAAAAAAAAGAACACGAATATTTTTCGATTTGACTGAGCTATTAAGGGGAGATACACCAAAACCGTTTTTGCTCCGAACATCGATTTTATTTTATATTATTTTTAAATAGACAAAAAGAATAAGATTGTACACCTTCAAAAATTTAAAAAAATATTCCCTCCTCGAGAAAAAAAATATTTTTCTTTTTCGAAAATTTTTAAAATTTGGAGAAGTCTGTCACTGTAATACCGATAGTTCGGCCATTTACTGAACATTTACTTACACTCCGAACAAGACAACCCTATAAAAGATTATATAATTGAACAATAAATGACCAAGTTACAGACCAAACAAGGTGGAAAAAGAAAAATTGGGATTTTTGCCTACCACCAAAGTTGTACATTTTACCACTCGCCCAGGTCATCAGATATCGCTTCAAAAATTCTTGTGAGTGTAGTTGATGATCATGGAAAGCTTTTTGGAACAGGATTTCTCTCAATTTTGAGTTTTAAGCTATGCAATGTGGCCTCAAACGACTTAGTAAAATTCATCGTAAAAAAGGGCAAAAAAGGCAGATTTAAGGCTTAAAATGCCTATAACTCAAAAAGTATCAGTTTTTTTGAAATAATTTTTACAGGATCGTAATCAGCTTGGTAAGACGAATCTTTTAGTACGACATTTACATCTTTTAGTACTTTCGCTTTTGGGTACTAATATCAGACGAAGCCTTATATCACGGCCAACTCTTTGCTTCGTGAAATATGGAATTTACCGTTCAGCATGAAAAGCGATTTATTTTAATACATAGTTTGTTAGGCATCATTTTTATAATGGAGAAAATACAGTTTTTTACTCACGATCTTATTTCATTAAGATTTCAACTTGCCATAATAAAATCAATAACGTTATTTTTACAATAGCAGTAGTATTTACAACTTTGCACTTCCCCATCACCATATCTCGAGCATGTTTTTAAAGAGCTAAAGTTATGTGCAATCTCCATCCGAGGTTCACAATTATCCTTGCACAGCTATGTTTTAAAAACTATGAACTACTGCAGCATCGAGGAAAATAATCCTACAAAAATAGTAATGCGAAGGAGGTGTGGCCTTGAAAACTTGGATTAAGTGGTCAACCAGCTTCTCTTCAAACAGCTGCACATCCTTGATGGCTTTATACAGTATAGTAGTAAAGTAGTGTTGTTGAATTGGAGCTGCTAGTTAGTCTGGGTATCCCATTATGATGTCAAATAATTAGGTCAGAAGAAAAAATCATGAGTTGAATAACAATATTTCCAAAATTTAATTATAATAATGAGAAAGTATAAATAAATATCCATATAATAAAATATCAATAAACTATTTTTTAACGACGCTTCAGTCTCCGCCATTTCCTTAACGCTTTCGGCTTTTTCCATATATCATTAAAATGCTATTGAGTAGTGAAGCCTGCAGAGACCACCAAGTGATAGGTGATGGTTTAGAATAACTGATTCCACGATACTTTCCAACTGCTTGGTAATACTAATCTTGCTAATCTTAACTTTCTTAACTGTTTTTCTAAACGATGAACCTAAATCAATTTAAATAAGCTAAAGTGCTAATACTGAAGTGTTAAAGCTGAAGTGCTAAAGCTAGATTGCTAAAGCTGGAGTGCTAAAGCTGGAGTGCTAATGCTAGAGTGCTAAAGCTGGAGTGCTAAAGCTGGAGTTCTAAAGCTGGAGTGCTAATACTGAAGTGCTAAAGCTGAAGTGCTAAAGCTAGATTGCTAAAGCTGGAGTGCTAAAGCTGGAGTTCTAAAGCTGGAGTGCTAAAGCTAGCGTGGAGGGTGTTGCACTTCCGTACCCTCTACTTCAATATGAAACTGCTCTCAACTCTTACAACAAACATATTTGATATTGAGATATTGTAACAAACATATCAATCTAGAGTTTTCTCTGAAAATCGTGCTGGTACCTGTTCGATCAGTTAACGTGACGATTGCCTTGATCTTCTGTTTCAGTTTATCTACCACACAACTCAGCTCTATTTTAACCCCCTAGGTGATAAGCTGAACCGAAGGATCAAACCATGTTGCTAATTGTTGCTCATATTAACTATAAAACATCAATTTTGAGGGATGATGAAGTGTTTATAGGTTCTGAAACCTAGTTAAATCGATTTCTCGTGAATTTTTAAAATGAGTTAGTAATATTATGATTAACAAAGTCGATTTCTCGGTTATTTTCAAGCTTTCGTTCAGAAAATAAATTTGAACCTCCAAAGGGGGGGGGGGGGGGGGGGGGGGGGGGGGGGGGGGGGGGGGAGGGTAACAAGCGTTACAAAATACAAGCGTTCCATAATACAAAATGTGCATCACCTCTTTCTTCTGCTGAACAGAACCTGCCCCTTAAAGTAAAAAATCTGCATTGTGCATCACCTCTGTCTCCTGCTAAAACAGAACCTTGCTATTAAAGTAAACAAATGTACCTCACTTCGCCAAGAGAATCAACATCTATAATCTAAATAAATGTGCGTGTGTGCGTGTGTAATTTACGGATATTAGTTTAATTAAAATTCCTGATAAAGCCTGAAAGATGAAGATTTAAAAATCCAACCATAAGACAGTTTATCTCTAATCAAACTATTTGGAATGAATGGATGAGAAGAGCTTGGTATTAGTTGACATACAGAATTAGAATGTGTATCTATAGCTGACCGAAATTATAACTCAATACCTCTTTCTACTCCATAGTAGATTAGTCTATACCTCATCCTATTTCCTACTCAATATATCTCAAAACCTTCCAAATATGATGAGCGCTGCGGGTGATACATTTATATTCGCCACAAGATACCCTAATCTAAACGAATTTTAGCTGTAAACTTTTACAGACGTCTTACTTCAGCAACTCATGTTTTTGATTGCTTAGTAATACTCGAGGGTAGATATAAGTTGTTATCTCCTGCAAATAAAATTATTATTCCCCCTTGTGCCAGCTTTTATCGTGATAAAAAACGCAGGTAAAACCTTAGGACAGTCATGCATAATGGTCGGTTTTCGAGCAAGAAGCAACGGTCATTTAACGGTCGTTTAACGGTCGTTTAACGGTTGTTTATTATACAGCTAGGTTTAATCAACGAACCATATAACACGATACCAACCATCAATCTGAACCCATTTTGCCTTGCATAATTTTATTGCTCGTTGGATAGAACGACACGTCGGATTGTGTCACGTGCTCTGGGTTAGCACGTGCTCTGGGTTAGCACGTGCATGACAGCACGGTGTGCTGGCCTTATATAATAATTGACGTAATAATAACAAACAAGCACGTGTCGCCTCATCTCTCAAACAAATATCCATTCTTTCTGCATTGTAATCAGTGAAAATAACAAATTCCTTTTGCTTACCTGCTTCACTTTTCAGCATAATTGCTATTTTTCCGTCCAACAAATCGCTCAAAGCTGACAAACCTCCGAATGTCAGATGATGGTGCATGTTGGCGTGCAGCAGCCAATCACATCGTCTCATTCCGCCCACGTGCTCTGATATAACACCACGTGACTTGAACACGTGTCACGTGACCACGCGACACACTTTGATTTACCACTCACGACGTTTTGTTGATTAGATTGCTTGATGATGTTTTGTACTGCGTATTTCGTTGCAGGATACGTACTTGAACTTCGTTATAGCTTTATAGCTAGTTATACGCGTATTTTCACTGCTTCTATACCTTGGGTTTCTGGTTTAACATTTTTGAACAGTCAACTTTTAAGTTACTAGTCGAACAACCACTTACCACATACAATAATATATCTAAATTTAAAATTAAGTTAATAAGGGCATTTTCAATTTTGAATAGTTTAAAGGTAGGAAAACTTAACGGATATCACTTTATTACTAATATTATTAATATTTATTACTTTAGTTTATTCATCACCCACCTTTGAGGAGCTTGGTTAGCAAGTAACTCCACGTTGGAGTAACTACACAATAGTCTAACTATATAATAAGAGTAACTACATAATAAGATAACGGTAGAGAGGTTGGTAACACAACCATATTAGATTTCCTTATAAGTGAGCTCATATTTCCACTTCATGCTGTTCCCAATCACACCTCCTCCACTATGCGGTAGTACATTTTTTTACTTGTCTCGTTTTTTCGATGTTCTTATCTTCTCTCCTTCCAAAACTTAAAACGGTCGTGTCCCCGAAAATTAAATAATATATACTTAAGTACTTGGTTTATTGGTTCATTAGAACTTAGTCAAGGACAGCAGCTGTGCTCAAATAGGCACAGAGACAGTAAGGTTATAAGTTCACTTTTAAGCTGTTTTGTGATCGAAGGAATGGCTATTTACTTGAAGTTCAGCAATGCAGGATGATGCTGCCAAGCTTGTAGAGATATTCAGCGAACTGAACAAATTGCAGGGTTATCAGAAACAGATACAACAAGTCAAAAAGAGGTTAGATCTCATTGTTTGTTCAAAGGATGCAGGATGTTCAGCTCGACAAAATACCAGTGGACATTATTTCGTAGGCCCTAAAATGACTCCTCCAGATCCAGTCTTAACCTTAAATTTGACAAATCTCACTAGCTGAGTAGCTCTGATAAAACGGATGATTATACGTCCGATTAGAACCTGATAGATCTCATTATCATCATAATGTGTTTGAATTGTTTTGAAATGTTTTATGTCCTATGGATATTTTCATTGAAATTACGTTAGAATTAGAAAGTGCATTACGATTGCAGCTGATCGACCCTTTCTATTAAAGATCTAAAGCACCAAAATCTATTTTCAAAGTCCCATTATTCTCACAAATAACCAAAATAAAACTCAATTCACAATATTTAACTGTGCAGATTTCAGATTGCAGAAGATAATGGAGACGGAGAACGTAAAGCTGGAAGGTCCTGAGTTTGAAGCAAAGTTAGCTTCCAACATCCACCCCTTCATGTACTCATACCCTGAACCACTAGGGGATCGTTACAGAGACGTTCAAAGTGAATAATTGTGGTGTTATAACCTCAGCTGTGATGTTTTATAAACAACTGATTATGATCGATTAATTGTGTACTCGATTAAGTTCTATTTTTGTCTTCCTTACAATGTTCCATGGTCTAAGATGAATAAAATACATTTTTTCTATCTACGATGCTAGATTCCTTCTGATAATAATTCACAAAGAAGAGCTTTCGCCCTTAGGTCTGCTGGATGAGTTGGCAGACAAGAGCACAAAAAGAGGAGTCCAGCATCAGAGGTACCTGGAAACGGTTATGCAGTTCAAAGATAAGGGATACAGGTTTTTGGACATTTTAAAGTAATTCTTTAATTTTTTTCGTATGATTTGAATTGCAATGAATAGTTTAAAGTTAGGTTCGAGGTTGGAATTAGGTTTAGGGGTAAGGGATATCTTGTTGGAAGCTAAATTCTGCGACCATATTTTGGATGGGGTTTATAACTGTTAAGAAAGAATGATCAATAATCAGTTTTTCAGACAACGAATAAGTTTTTAAAAGTTTTCGTCAGTACCTCAATAAATGTATTGAATTTTAGTTGTGAAAATAGTTGACCCACATCACAACTGCCAGGTACGCAGTATGTAGCGGTAATAAGTTCTTTCTAATGCAGAGATTTCACCAGCGGGTCTATTTGTGATTGTCTAATCCCGGCCCTTCCCGGTCATTTTGGACCTTTACCGATAGTTTAAATCCGACATCTAGCGTCATCTAGCGTGAAATGACGCTAGATGACGCGTTTCTTGATACACGTTGTAACTCCTTTTCGCGTGCACGAGAGAAGCTTGCAACGTGCAGCAATACGTTTTACTCAAACACCCGGACGAATCTACAGTTGCTAACAACAAAGAATAACCCAGGTACGCACTGTGTAACGGTAACAAGTTCTCCCCCTCTAACAGTGGACTCAATATAGACCCTGGAACCTACCCCTTCAGAAGTAGCGCTTCGGACAACTGTCTGTACTTCTCCAACAATACTTCTGATAATTCGTAAGTTCACTCAGTTTTAAATGTGTTGTGTTTGTTAAACTTTTTAACTATTCGAAGGTGGAGTCACATTAATCTATATTGGTTTAACAAACATTTTCACGGTTGACGTTTGCACGCAAATGATCGAAGCATCGAAAATTAAACTTTGCATGATTCGAAACATGCATAAAAAGTTAGAATTATGAAAATAGGTTTATTTGGTATATACTATAACCGTTCAAATTTGTGCTGGTTCTCATCAGCATCTAAAAGTAATTATCATAACACTTAAATGTATTGTATTGCCTTCTCGTTATTCACCTACTACTATCAGAAGTACAACAGACACATCCTCAACATCAAGATCTAGTCCACCAGTATTCTTTTCTACCAAAGAAGGAATAGAGACTGCATCAACTTTAGACGAATCCATGGTTAGATAACTTGCAATAAATTTCTGCTTGTTGAATTTCATATTTATAACTTCTGAATGCACTAAAAACACATAAATTGGGTACTGACGGCTGATGTGTTGAATACTTACCTTGTTATAGATCTAATAAATTTCATGTTTTCAGATTTGCCATCCTCCCTCTGAGCTGCCTGATACGTGTAGCACAAGTTCGTCAGATTCCAGTTCTAAGTCAGGCCCCAAGCAGCTATCCGGTAATAATTTTGAGTACCTTATTAAATCTTTAAATATACATATTTATTATTCATGTAATACATGTTTTACAATAGTTTTGAGTACCTTATTAAATCTTTAAATATACATATTTATTATTCATGTAATACATGTATTACATCTTTACATGATGTAATAATAAATGAATCTAATTTAGAAATGGAGAAGTTTTCGCATTTATGAATATCAAGGCTCACAATATGATATATTGGTAGCTAAAACAATTTAAAGTACGAATATCACCTTTATCAGAAGGAAAGTGGACACAGCCTGAATCCTTAGTCTGTAACCCTCCTGAATCTACCTACCAATCCCTGATCTCCCAAGAAACTTACCCACCCTCACCCTCTCTCTCAAAGAGCTCCAAAACCTCCTCCTCGCGGAGCACCTCCTCCGCAAAGAAAAGCATTTCTCCAATGACCTACGACGAGATATCTCGCTACAGTGAACTGTACTGCACCCCAGGCACCACCACCCTGGATCCAGACACATACTCTAGGTTACTTCTTGGTCGAATAATTTTCATATAATTGATTTGACACATATAAAATTGTAATAATGATATAATGATCTTTCTAATTTTTAATTTTTAATAATTTTTAATAATTTCTAATAGTTTCTAATAATTTCTAATAATTTCTAATAATTTCTAATAATTTCTAATAATTTCTAATAATTTCTAATAATTTCTAATAATTTCTAATAATTTCTAATAATTTCTAATAATTTCTAATAATTTCTAATAATTTCTAATAATTTCTAATAATTTCTAATAATTTCTAATAATTTCTAATAATTTCTAATAATTTCTAATAATTTCTAATAATTTCTAATAATTTCTAATAATTTCTAATAATTTCTAATAATTTCTAATAATTTCTAATAATTTCTAATAATTTTTAATAATTTCTAATAATTTTCTCCAGATATCAGACTGTTCGGAGCATGGTGGTCTCTCAGACCTGGCTGACTGGCTGGATTAAGGACCTTTATAATATTGAGAGTGAAATTGTTTCAGCTACTGGTAAACCTTTGTTGTAGACTGATTATTGAGGTTATTTTGATGAGAGTTCCTGCAGCCATGGCTATAATATTCACGATTGGATAATTTCCCCGAACTGTTAAGCACATATATTTAGTTGCTATTGCGACCACAAGGATTTCACGGCATATTTATTATTTATGGTATAGCTGTGCTAATATAAACATAAAATTTTACTTAAGTAAAATATTTGTTTAAACGACCAGGCCAGTCGGGTTTATAGTAAATAAGCCAGCCGCTAAAAGATGACCGCACTAAACTACAGTCGCAGATATATCTGTAGTTTATATGAACATTAATTAGAGGTTTTAGTACTATAAACCTCTAAATGTTCAGATAAAATGTTTACGGCAGTGGTTTTCAGCTTTTCAAAAAAAGGTTACGATTTTCAGACCAAATACATTGATTGCCGGATAATAACTTTTAAAGTATTGTTAATAAACTTTGTGTTTTATACGTTGCTATTTTATAGTTTGATAGTTTATTGTAGTGATACTGATATGAAAGAATTTTTATTGGAAATCTCGAATGGTAAATATTGGCTGAAGATTTGCTCAAATTCTATCTTTCTTTTCAGTTTCAGTTTAACAACAATAGGTAATTTATTGAAGTATGTAAACAGTATTTAAGCATTCTTCGTCCCGTCTTAATGGAAGAAAATGCAGCTTAGTTCAAAAAGACCAGAGCTGATCAAATCCCTAAATTCTTTTAACCTTTTGAAGGCTCAGTAGTGCCAACAGCTTCACTTTGAAAATGAGCATGTCTATTTGAGTGCGAATTACTCAAATACACTATGCTGATTGCTGAGGTAATATTTGACTAGTCATATTTGGTATGATCTACCAATCCAGAATATATGTATAGATTGACTTTATTATTCATAGTTATCACCATAAATTGTAATAAGGTCCCCATAAGAACCATCACCTGATCGTGTAGGGACCGAGCTAATTGGTAATTTGCATTGTTCAGACTCCAGCAGCACAGCTCTCAAACCGGTTCAAGAGTATTTGTTAGTTGATTTAAATGTATGACAAAGACAGACTAGTATGACAGTATGACAGTATAACAGTAGTACAATCCTAATGGGCACGATTTCCTGCATGCATTTTCAAGCTGATCAATTACCTAGGATTTGTGAGTTAATAATAGTCCACAATTTTGAACGATTTGTATCTTTTATTTTCGCTATGCACCCTGTTATTTATTATTATAATTGCAGTAATCAGTATATATATACTCATGTGTTATCATTCTAATCCTATATAGTTACAAGTTGAAGTAAACTGTGAGACCTCAACTAGCATTAAATCTAAGTGCATTTTTTACCAACAGTAGACTCTACAGCTGGTTTAAAATAAAATTATTATTGTGAGACTAGGTAATGGTAAGTTAAAAACTTTAATGGTACACATAACTTTACACGATGATGTCTACAGTAGAGTTTACAGCAGACTCTGTGTGCGTCCTCATTTGCGGTTAAATTGTACTTTGTACAGAAGGTTAAATGCTATAATCGGATACGATAGTCTATATCAGCTAATTACTATTGCGTAGAGTATAGAAATTTGTTCTGCCTTGACGTAACTATTTTCTTTGTGATTATCTTTAGATATACTAGTAATTGTATGCATTTCTCAAAACTTTAAAAAAGTTAAAAGTAAGCGTCCTGCTGAAAACTTACCAACAGTTGGACATATTATAATCTCACTCCCAAAGTCATGTAGACGGGATGGACGACGAACAGAGACGACCCTCGATTGTTGAAAAATATGTTTCTTATCTCTCTGATAATCTGGGAATGTTACATTTCAACTGCAGACAAAAAAACTCTATAGCTCAGCCTAGAGAGGTTTTTGGGGGATTCGATTTAGCGGACTTTCAGAACAATGTTGTAGCTGCTTTCGCTGAAGCAACCGGATCTTTATCGCCTAGCGAAATGACTCAACCTGAAGTAGATAACAACAAGCCTACGTCAGGAATATTTTCCTCGACTTTTAGACCTCCTGTCGAGTCTGAAGAGTTGCCGTCAGCTCCTGAAGTACGGCCATCTATAAACGAAGAGGAGCCTCCAGAAAATACCACCTCAAACAATAATGAACATGTACCAGGTAAATTCCTTTCTGCTAGTCCTGACGTTGATATTCAGCGTAAGTACGGGTCCCCCAGACTGGATGTTAGAGCAACATTACTTACATTATCCCAGCCTAAAAGTGAACAACTTGAACAGGAGGAAGATAAGCAGTCTGTAAACGAAGAAGATGTGGCAGATACTATAAAGATAAGTTCTACTTTTATTCAACCTGACAGTGACCAAACAGAGCACTCCTGCTGCACCGCCACTGAAGACTGCAGACCAAACTCGACACTGGTCGACCTAACAGGATTTAAAACAAATCAGATCAATGTTCGTTTAGAACCTGGAAGTGGCATTGATCTGGAAACATCTAAATCTCTTATCAAGGTTAGGGCTACAGCTCATCTAGTCGGGCTGGAACCAGATGATACCCTCACAGTTAACAACAAGGAATCAGATGATATAGTGATCGGGGACGATACGTTCCAAGTATTGGTTCCTTTATCAGGAGGAAGAGGTGAAGGTAACAGGGAGGTTCGTGTCTCTTTTGTGCTACAAGTAAACCCTGGCAAGAGTAGTGGTCCTTCCTGCATTGTAGAGGATTTGGATGAGCTTGACTCCTCTGTAAGAGCTGGGGAATGTGTTAAATCAGTAAAGCCTGTGAAGAATATTATCCCAAGAGTGAAACACAAATCTAATACAGCTATTGTTCGAGGTCAACCCCCTCTAACTGTCAGCAAAAAGAGAAAAGCACGAAAAATCTCGGTGAAAACAAGCGAGAGAATGTGCAGGAGGCTGAAATTTTCCAACTTATATTATGTGTCAATAATTCACTCAACAAGTCACCACCGTCTCGTACAACAAGACAAATCTTCAACAATAAGTTTCTTTACCCGTTGTATCACTGACCACGCAAGTGAGACCCTGAAACGTTTCATACTGAAGAACCTGAACTGCGAGGAGAGAACAGCTCAAAGAACCAGTCTAAATCCTCAACTACCTGTCACTCAGTTTGTTAAACAGCTAACCCAAACAGCCTGGATAGGACCAGTTGCATGCTGTATAAGCGGGATAACCTTCAAACCAATCCCCCTCTCCACCTACCCCCGTCTCCACAAGCTAGTCTCCAGAGTCAGCAGCATGTTAGCACGCAACGCCTCTCTCCCTTGGGTCTACAACTCTCTAGTAGTCAACATGTGTGGTAACGGAACAGACACTACCCACTGGAGCAGGGAGCTGTTAGATCCAGCAGTGTTCAAGGTTACCCGCCCGGTGTCTATACTCTCAGTAGGGACCTGCAGGAGGGTGATAGTGAGTGATAGGAGAGGGAGAGTGAGAGGGGTGGTTATCATGACTAATGGGAGCTTGTTACATGTCAGGAGGAGGTTTGTTAGTAGGTACAGTTTGAGGGTGGAGCTAGATAGTGGAGCTAGTGGGAGCACTTTGTTTCTTACCTTTCACAGGTGCAGCACTCGTTAATACAGGGACATGTGGTGACGATTTTGCTTTTCAGTGATTATAAATGGACGAATTTTCTTTTGTTTTACTCCCAATTAAAGACATTGACTACTATAATAACTATAAAAGAAGAAAGTTTTTGATTATTGATTTAGTTGTAATAAAGCAATATGTTTACAATATTATTTTCCATATACATGAGCTACAAAATTCAATTATATACTGTTGTGATACACTGACTGGTACCTATATTATATACACAATTATTTTGTTGATTGTAATGTTATGATATTGCATAATTTATTGTAAATGTAATATATGTTTCAGAAAATTATGTAATGTAATGCGATGGAGGTTCTTTAAGCAGGCAATTCCAGTCCAAACCCTGGAAACATGACATAAAGGATTTGTTTTACTTGTTGCATGAAAAGCACTAATATACACAATTTTGTAGATTAGTTAAGTTGCGGTGCTTCTGCATAACGAATTAATTCATGCTATTCACTAATTTTTGCCAATTTTCTATTTTATGTTTTACCGCGACATATACATTTAACGAAGATGTCATGTTTGAATTTGTTATATTATTGCCACGTGAGGGTTGCTCTGTATTATTTCGTATGTAGAGCAGTTTGTAATGTTCTCGTCTCTTTTATGTGTTCATGGTAATTAGTTTAAACGGAAAAGCGTTAATTGGAATTGAAGAAAAGTTGTTACAAAGTAGGCATGACAAGCGTGCAACCTAGCAAATGTGGCAGTCTGTAAGCAGTAATTCGCTTGCTAACCTAGTCAGTAGTAGTCAACCGCACAAATTGCCTTGTCCACATGAAAGAAGTTTAGTGAATTTTTTAATTGACACGGCCACTTTAATTTGTCTTTAGATTCTCTGATTTCAGTTAATCTAATCTGTCAAATAAAATTTACAATTACTATTGCAAACTTATGTGGTCATTTGTTCATATCTGGTTAAATTTCTTTGACTTTCTATGAACAACTGAACTGCAGCACAATCGTTGTGATATCGTGAAATTTTTAACAATTTGTATGCATCATTAATTGTAAACTGCTTTTGGGAAATCTCTGGGAAGATTTCTGGGACCTGTCTCGACTTTTTCTCCTTTAAATCGCTTTGTGACGAATTTTTTCTGACCAAAATATGTACTGCTGCTAGATTGTGTAAAGCATGCCGAGACACGGTGAGATATCGTGGCAGGTAGCTCAACTGGAGAGCAAGGTGGAGTTCATGATGGAGAACCTGTTCACCAAGATAGACAGCATATACGAGGTGAGAGAGGGTTCTTTGTAACTCTTAACAAATATAATAGTGTATAAGTATTGTTAAACTAGCAACATACGAGGTGTGACGAAGTTAAATTTTAATGATTTTTTAAATTTTTATTTTAAGAACACCCTTGCACATTATTTATTTCTCTATTGATGTATAGTCAAGACGTGAGTGTTAAGGCTCTCATTGACAAATTTATGTTTAATCCTGTTTAATACGAGGTGAGAAAGGATTCTTTGTAAGGGTAACCCTTAAAAATTAGTGTATTGTTAAACTAGCGTCAAATTAATAAATTATTCACTAACGACACGTATAGAAATCGTCCCAGATCACTTGCAAGATAGACCGCGTATGTGAGGTGAGGAAGGGTTTCTTGTAAAGGTAACTTTGAGAAATAGTGCACATATTAAATTAGCAACAAATTAACAAATTATTTACTAACGATACACATAGAAATCCTCCCAGATCTCCTGCAGTAGTGACAAGAACTTCCACGAAACGGAAATGTTAAGACAAGAAATATCTCTGTTACGGATACGGTTGGTTCATCATTTTATATCGATGATGCTCAGTTATACTCATCCTAATAGAGTTTTATTAAATTTGATTTCGTTTCATAGTTTGTTGATGTTGTGATTATAGTCCAACACGTTATTGTGATATTAACGAGACATGACAGCGCTAAAGATGTTAAACTGCTGTATATAAAGTTGTGTACTGTTAAGATAAATACACGACTGATAATATTGATAAAGTTGTGTATTGTAGGTTGCAGGAGATGGCGAACCAGCCGGTGCAGTGTTCGTGTACTCACAACAAGTCCCCATCTCTAAAGTCCCCTTCTCTATCCGACCTCACTGTAGCGCTCATGGAGACTAAGAAGGGGAATCAGCCACCATCTAGTGAGTTATAACATTTGAGTCTGAAATCAAAACTGATTTATGTCTATAGTTTCTTATATTTATAATGCTATAAATAGTTTTCCCATGATACAGAATGGCCCACACGACCCTTGAAAGCTTGAATAATTCTCTCAAGAATAAATTGAGTTATTTAGAATAGGTTGCGTTTGGGCAGACGATTTTGGGCCATTTTGCATCAATTCAATTAATAATTCACCGCACTAGATACTGCTAATTTGTGGAAGAAACTTAACAAGACTTACAAAACCCCGAAACCTCAGAATCTAGTCGACGTTAAATCCATCGTTGCGGTAAGTTTTTACATTATACAGTAAACTACCATCGATTAATGAAATTCTCTACAGTTTTTGAGAAATGAAATTTTTAATTTCATTTAGAATTCTGGGACATAAAAAATTACGATGACCTCAGTTTCTCGTGTAAAAACGATCAAAACCTAAGATGAGAAGTACGTACCGTACCCGCGGCTTTAAGTACGTACGGTACGAGGTTTATTATTAGTACGTACCGTACAACTAGTGAGTGACTACTTTGAAGTACGAAATTTGTCTGAAAAAATTGTGTCTGTTTTTTACCTTATTTTTCTATTGTTGTAAAATTGGCAGGTATATTTGGAATTTTCAAACCACGATTTTGGTGCCGGTGAATGCTAAAGCCGAATTAAACAATTTTTAAGACAATAAATTAATTTTAATAACTGCAATTATACTCAATAGGACTAGGAGTACGTACAGTCATACTATTCTAATGATGAAAATAATAATGCGGCCGCGACATAAGTTTAGGTGCCCGTAGCGCCATTTTAAGTTTTCCTGTTATTATTTTGTCACGAAAGTCGGACTTCCATCGAAAACCCATTTATTGTACTTTATAGCCAATTTTATTAGTACGTGCGGTAACAGCCATTTTTTCCATTTCACCCTTTTGTAAAAAGGCAATAGTGAAAAGTTACGAATGGTAGTTTTTGGAGAAAAAAGTGGATTTTGGATATAGCGGTAGGTGGGTCTGAATATGGTGTCATTCCTTCCGTTTGTTACTAATACTATGTCAACTAGCCGCGCGCGCGCGAGGATTGCTTGCGGAGATGTTGTGTATAGCTACTGCTAGGCTAGCCTGTGGTCAATGAATGCGCGGCGCGAGCGTATTTTAATGCATACTCTGTAATGTATACAGGATAGTATTAGGTAATAAGCCCAATTTGTACGTGGCACGCGTAGTGTACTGATGTGTTTCAATATTAATATTATGAAGTGAGCTGATTAGAGCTTATATTTATAGTTATACTTATAATTATAGTGAATGGAAATCGATCTAGCATCCGCCAAAACGAAAAAACGGGCGCAATTCTTGTTTAAAGTACGTACTACTAGGGGTTGATTCACGATGTCAATCCTTCGCAGCTCGGTGAGGCACAGTGGTGCATCTCGCCGATCTACCGAAGAAGTGGTTGCGAGAAGCATTATTTGATGCGCGCGCGACCCAGTAGTGCATCGCGCTACAATACTAGGGGGTGCACCATAAAATAAACTTGCTCGGATTTAAAAAATTTTTGTACCATTGTTTTCTAGAGACTGTGAGAATTTTCACAATACCGAATTTGTCATACATTTTTGGAAAGATCAGTGAGTTTCGCCTAGGTGCCATATTTGCTTTGATGGTGCGCGGCTTTTGGAGCAAAATTAGCTGTAAAAGTCGCGTAATTTTACCAAATTTGACCAAATTCGTTGATTTTTGTCGTATTATTTGGATATATCTTCAGTTCCTTGAATGAGATCATTCTGAAAATTGGCGACGACCTTCCAATAGGGCTTTCACAACTGTCCGAAAAATTTGGTGGATATCAGAGTTGATATAGTAATCAAAATGGGGCAAAATACGCTGCTTTTAACTGTAACATAATGTTTGAGGGTTGGATATGCTTTAAACTTTTCGGACACTTTCCTTGTAAGTTTATGAGTAAGCTTACCAATTTTTGTTGCAATCGGAGGTCGGGAAGGATACTTAATATCTATTTGTTTGAAGGAAAATTGTGCTGGCCGAAATTAGCGCTAAAAAACCATTCTACAGTCGGAACGCGCGGCTCACTGTCGATGGCACACTACCTAGTTATACTACATACCGTACAAACTTTTCATCATAGTATATAACGAACAAACAATCCTACATTTCCAGAAATGGAATGAGAGTTCCAAGAGTGATGAAACACTTAATGTTAATGCTTATCAAATGATAACGCCAACAGTATCCTCTTGTCCTTGATTTTTTTCTTTTGGCCCAGGGACGAAACATAGCCGAATTTGAACAAACTATCTACAGTAACAATTTAATCCCTTTGATATCGATTGCCACCCATGCCAAGCCGGGTTGCAACGAAAGCTTAATAGATAATATTTTAGTGAACTCTACTGAGCGTGTCTTAGGATCTGGAATTCTTGAATCCAAGATTTCCCATCATAACCCCATCTTCTGTTTCATATCGTGTAATACTAAAGAGAGTCCAAATGATGCCAAACTTAAACCTAAGTATGATTACTGTGAGTCTAATATAGAAAGCTTCCTTAATGATATCGGAAGGGATATCTACCAATCGAACTTTTCGTATGATGAGGAAGGTTTTGAAAAATTTGTCGAAACTGTCCATGAAAAAATCGAACTGAATTTCAAAGTGGACTCTACTGCTGGTTTTCAATCAAAACGCAATAGATTGATGAATCCATGGATCACTTCTGCGTTAATTAAATCTGTGTTTACTAAAGGCTTTCACTACAAGCGATGGAAGGCTTCGTGTACAAAAATCAACCCATTAGGTGAGGAAACTTTATATCTCAAGTATAAGGAGTATCGCTCTATCCTAAACAAAGCTATAAAATCTGCGAAAAAAGCCCACTATGGGAAAAAATTTGAACTTGCTAAAGGAAATATTAAAAAAACCTGGGAATTGATTAACGAACTCAGGGGTAAATCTAAAAAAGATATAAAAGCATCATTCTTAATTGATGGTAGAATTGTAACTGAACGCCGTGAGATTGCTAACGGATTTAACATCTACTTCTCGTCTATTGCTCGTACTCTTAATTCAAAAGTTCAATCTTCTGTACCATCTCGTACGGTAACTGATGGCAATTTCAATAAAAAGAAGTTTAAGCAATACCTCAAGGGCAGAGAAAGAATAGTGAACTCTTTTTTTCTCAGCCCCTGTGACGAGGAAGAGATAAGTAAAATTATTGGTAGCCTTGAAAATGGGAAGGCAAGTGATATCTCTGTTAAAGTCTTAAAAAAGAGTGTAAATTATCTGTCTGGTCACATCTCTAGATTCTTTAATTGGTTCTTGGACAATGGGGTCTTTCCAAACAAGCTTAAAACGGGCTCTATTACACCAATCTATAAAAAAGGAGACTCACGATGCCTTGATAACTATAGACCTGTTTCTACATTACCGATATTTGGAAAAATACTTGAAAAAATAATTTATAATAGGTTATATAATTACCTCAGTGCTATGAACGTGATTTATGATCGACAATTTGGTTTTAGAAAACAACACTCAACATCTCATGCCGTAAACTATTCTGTCAATAAAATACTTAATGAGATTGAACAGAAAAATCATGTAATTGGAATATTTATTGATCTAAGTAAAGCATTTGACACAATTGAGCACGATAAACTCCTGCATAAACTTGAACACTATGGAGTAAGAGGTATTGCACTAAAAACTCTTGCTAGCTATCTAACAAACCGTAGCCAAGTAACTTCTTTTCAAACTGAAAAATCGGACAAGTGTTCAGTTGAGTATGGTGTACCCCAGGGGTCAGTGTTAGGACCTCTACTATTTCTGATTTATATAAATGATATTGTGAGCTCCTCAAGCTTGGCTGAATTCGTCCTGTTTGCTGATGATACAAATATTTTTGTGATAGGTAGTTCAGCACAGGAAGCTTTTGAAAAAGCTAATCATGTAATGAAACAGGTCAGTAACTATATGGAGTCTAACAAGTTACATATAAATGCAGGGAAAAGTTGTTACATGCATTTTCAGCCAGGTTTGTCAAGAGCAACACAGACCTGTGCCAGAACACGGCCCTTTAACAGGAATCTAACGATTTTAATAGATGGCAAAAAAGCTAGAAAAAGTTCAATGTACAAAGTTTCTTGGGGTGATAATAGACGAACAGCTAAGCTGGGAACCACATCTTAATCATTTATCTTTAAAGCTGAACTCCAGTATTGTATCGATTAAGAGAATTTGCAAATTCATTCCCAAATCTGAATATTTGAAACTATACAATGCTCTTTTTATGTCACATCTTAGCTATTGTATAAGTTGCTGGGGTGGGATCCCTAAACATAAGCTGAATAAAATCTTTGCAATTCAAAAACGATGTATAAGACTGCTATTTGGTAACATTCCCAATTTTGATCATAAGGAATACTATTTAACCTGTGCACGTTCAAGAACTTATAACGAACATATGGCTAGCAAGAACTACTGTCTTGAACACACTAAACCGCTATTCACTGAGCAGAAAATTATGAACCTGGAGAATCTGCACATGTACCATACATTTATGGAACTATTCAAAATTCTTAAATTTGATGTCCCCCAGTCGATTAAAGATCTTTTCAAGTTCTGTCCTAGAAATGAAAAACTTCGTCTGATTGTCCCATTACTGAGGTTGGATATCTCCCAACAGAACTTTTTGTACACCTCTACGAAAATTTGGAATGACCTCAGCCCCTATGTATTCGAAATATGTGATGCTAATGTAGATGGGATAATAATCCCGGGTTCTTCCAAGAATTCAGACTTGTCAGCCTCGTCAGGTGTTATTAAATCTAACCTTAAAAAGCACTTGCTATCCCTCCAAAATCGAGATGACCCTAATACATGGTAATTGGTAACTAATTTATATTATATCTCAAATTCTAAATCCGGTACGGCTCTGCACACATGATATCTCTCTCTGCCATGAAACATGGCTAACCTTTTAAACTATAACTTAAAACTTAAACCTAAACTAAAACTCAACTGGGCTCTCCTATGTCACCAAACTAAACCAATAAGTAATTTTAGATTGTTATATTTTTCTATATAGTTTATATAACAAGTATATTGACGTAGTGGATGGTTGAGGGGGTTTCAAGCACAGGTCACTCTCAAATCCTAAAGATAAGCAGTGGCCTTCGGCACTTGAAACCTCTTCAAACCTCCCCTGATATATTAATTATTGACATTGTTTGATTGTGCCGTAAAAATAAATATTTGTTTTATTAAATATTTGTTTTATTATTTGATCAGAGGAAATTGAAATTTCATCCGGTGTGGAGTGAAAGCGTCAAGCAAATAAGTGTGGACTTAAAATATATTCCATCGACCTATATAAGTGTTATGGACCTTTATTTTTAATGAGATAAAAAGTGACTATCAAAGAATACTATTAGTTTTTTCCTTTTGACCACGGTCATGCTAGTAGTAGTATCATCATAAAAACACTTAAAAGTCGTATCGTTGAATAATGTTCTAAATACTAAAATATCAGCACAATTCAATAATTCAATTAATGTTCTAATTATTTTAGAATAACATAAGAACATAGCATTATAACCAATACTTTAATTCAGATTCATAAATTGTCCGTTATTTCAGACGATGATTTTTTTCTTCCTCCTTATTTTTAAATTTGGTTTCATAATAATTGTTTGCTTCTTTAAAAAGTTTGTATCTAATATCTTTAAAACATAACAGTATACGTAATAATCAGCAAAAATAATAACGATATTAGTGTATAGTAATACCTTATTCAAAATTAGCCTTTCGATCAATCTTAGTCAAAGATGCAAAATATATAGGTACCATCCTTTTGACGATTGTTCTCCATTCGAAGTGAATTTCAACTAATTGTTATTATTATAAATCTACATTGAAAACGTCAAGAGACCGACTGTAGCGGTTTACCAGAACATCTAAACATCTAAAACTAAGGCTTGGAATCTCAGTAAGAGCAGATGCTTGTAAAAACTTTTAAACGATTAAATGGTACATCATCGTTCAGTAACATTAAATTTAGATCCATGATGTACTTCCCGTCTGTTGAAGTGTAATTTTTGTAGTTCCTATAAAGGAGGAACTACAACACAACAAGCGCCCTGTTAAGTCCTGAAGGGACTGTTGAATAACCAATAGTGATAAATAATAGTAATGATTAACTTAACAATAATTGATAAATAATTAATTTAATAATAAACACCGTCTAACTGCAAGAAGCATCAGGACCCATGTGCTAAGCTACTTTATAAACCCCTCCGGGATAGAATAAGATTCTGATAATCCCGGCTCCCGCTAAATAGATTCTGATAATCCCGGCTCCCGCTGTTAGTTTTTTCCCGCTGAATAAATAACCCCGGCACAGCTTTTATAATCCCGCCCCGCTAATTTGGCTCAACAAGATTTGTTTTGTTTTGATATTCCATGAGAATTTCAACCGCGTACTGTCGCGTGTTTTGATGACGTGTATCACGTGACTAACTACTACGACGCGCATTGGTAAAAAATGTCACGTGACCTATGGCTTAACGTAAGAACTACAGGGTGGCCCATAAGTGACTACCCACACGCAACCTCTTAATAACTCACGTAATTCGTCTCCAAATTGCACCAAAATTTCAGAGATTATAGATATGGGTCAAACTTAGATTTCCTGAAAGTTTCGTAAGCCACGCCCAATTACAGTGGGCGTGGCGTGACACTCCCTCTTTTTCACTATTGTCTTCATAAAATGAGAACGCTTTAAGCTAAGAACTCAAAATTTTTTGCACACATTTGGCTTGATAATTGAAAACCTTTCCCAAAGTTTCAAGTTCATTGGTTAAAATATGGCTGAGTTATGACCATTTCAAAACTCATCGGATACGTGATCCGAGCACTCAGTCAGTGATCTCGTCACTTGGTTAATGGCCTGTTTGGCTCACATGCACCGCTTGATTGGTTGCAGCCTGCTTATGGGCCGGCCTATACAGCTGACTGCACCTAAAACGCTATCACACGAATTTATGGTGGTGTCACCATTTCAGGGCTTGTTAGCCCTGCTAGTCACAGGTTCCTTACAATCAATAAAAAGGAATGAACCATCCATTGAATCATTGAACCGGGCCTACCGAATCACAAAGAAACACAAACTTTTGGACCGTGATTTCCAATCGAGGATAGATTTCGCCAACACATTCCTGTCCAAGCAAAATGTGGATCCCTACTTTGAGGACGAAATCTGGTACAGCGACAAGGCCATATAAACGGATATGTCAACTCCCAGAATGCAATTCACTGGGGCTCTACTAGACCGGATGAAGTGGTGGAGAGAACGGCTTTTCCTGAAAAGTCACGATCTGGTTTTTATCCTAAAAATTTGTGTTTCCCTTTCTAGCAAAGTCATCATCGGTATCCAATCAAAGCCTAACGAACCTCATTAATACACGCTAACGCCTTACTCTTGATCAGATTGGGTGACGAGATCACTAATTGAGTGCAAATATCACTGACTGAGTGCTCGGATCACATATCCGATGGATTTTAAAATGGTCATAACTCAGCCATATTTTAACCAATGAACTTGAAACTTTTGGAAAAGTTTTCAATTATCAAGCCAAATGTGTGCAAAAAATTTTGAGTTCTTAGCTTAAAGCGTTCTCATTTTATGAAGACAATAGTGAAAAAGAGGGAGTGTCACGCCACGCCCACTGTAATTGGGCGTGGCTTACGAAACTTTCAGGAAATCTAAGTTTGACCCATATCTATAATCTCTGAAATTTTGGTGCAATTTGGAGACGAATTACGTGAGTTATTAAGAGGTTGCGTGTGGGTAGTCACTTATGGGCCACCCTAAATACACTCGATCTACGTATCGGTCTAATTGCAGGCGCTGGCAAAACTCCAGCACACTACATTCTTACATTACTTAAACTCTTACATTAATTGGACCAGTTCCAAAACTTGTCTCGACGGTTACATTTGATTTTGTCCGGTTCGGTTAATTTTGTCGAGTTTGATATATATATAATAAGCCATGTATTATAGTCGTCTACTTTGATGAACTTCATGACACGATATCATTATTAGCTTTTATCGCTTGCCAGGCTTAACTCGACGCCCCTTATCGATATTCATATTCATTCAACGTTCTGACTGAGGAATAGTGTTTAGATATAACGCCAATTTCAAAAGTCATAGTACCTTAGTTGTATTTATTTGGAAGTCCCCAATTCCATTTCATATTTTCCATAATGATCTCATATAGCTAGAATTAAGAGTAAAATGTCAAATTTGTTGGTCCTAGCACTAACCCGGAGGGGCTTATAACACATAACACCGGCACGCTTAAGTTATATTAAAATAACCCCTCGTGCTAAAGCACGTCGGGGTTATTTTCATAATAATCCCTCGTGCTTCGCACTCGAAATTATTATAAATTTTTCCCGCGCGTCGCGGGAAAAATTGAAATATAATCCCTGCGCATGCCGGGGTTATGTGTGTTATAAATTCATCGCCTCTGCCGGCCAACAGAATATGATAGCGAAATAAAAGTAATTAACTGATGCTAGGAATCTCAGTAAGAGCCCCTGTGCACGTGTTGATTTATAAATGGCACAGTCCACGTGCCGGGCATTATCTCGTCTTTTGTGGTAAAAACAGTCGTTTCATTGCGTTAATATTATCAGCTGGCGAAGTAATTTGCTCTCGTAGTGGTCGTTAGGATAGCTCCAAAGGATGGTTGTGATATTTGTAAATCATTATCTCACTGCAAGAAGACTTTAAATCAGAACAGATGGTGTTGGTCTCCTTCTGAAAATTTCAATTTTATAATATTTTCCGATCCTTCGTCACCCTCGAGCAAATCTACTGGAGACATGGAACAAAGATCATTTTATTTAATCATAAAAAGATTTTGTATTAGTTTTTTATTAGTACGTACCGTACAACCACTTTTAAGAACGAAATTTTTCTGAAAAAATTGTGTCCGTTTTTCACCTTATTTTGCTATCGTTGTAGAATTGGCAGGTATATACATATATAATTGGCAGGTATATATACAATTTTCAAACCACGATTTTGGTACCAGTGAATGCTAAAGTCGAATTAACCATTTTTAAGACAATTAATTAATTTGAATAACTGCAATTATATTCAATAGGAGTACGTACAGTCATTCTATTCTAATGATGGAAATAAGAATGCGGCGACATAATTTTTGGTGCCCGTACCGCCATTTTAAGTTTTCCTGTTATTATTTTTTCACGAAAGTCGGACTTTCATCGAAAACCCATCTATCGTACTTTATAACCAATTTTATTAGTACGTACGGTACAGCCATTTTTAAAAGTACGTACTTTACGAACTTCTCATCATAGATCTAAACTTATCTCACAAAACAGATTGATTCACAAATTAATTTCAGAAATCTAATCTTTGACATTCTGCTTAAATAAGTATAGATTGCCCGATTACACTATGAAATTAATTTCAGAAGTTTGATGTCCATCACACCTGGAACACAGGAGAAGGAGAGTCAGATGTCTCTAGACCTGCCTCAACTGCTCCTAGTGTTGTAGGGACCCCCGTACCAGCTACCACCCACACTCCGAACCAGGTATACATTACTGCAGATAACATCTCCTTAATTCATAGTGAGCAGTGACACAACAGTAACTGACTTACTGATACTTTTACTGAAATTTTCAAGCTGTTTTTAAATATTTGTAGATATCACAGGAAGAGAATCTTCCTGAGGGAGATGTAAGCGAAGATAAAACCAGTTATGATTCCGAACCGGACAAAGAAGTAGAAGTTAAACTTGATGCCCCTGATTTAGATAGGGTCACTGTTAGTATTGGATTGATAATTATCTTTATTAGTACGGCATATTATCGGAGAAGGCATTTTAAACACTAACTTAATGTTATGGTTTTTTTCAAAATGTCGGAAAGCGCGCCCTCGAACTTCAACCATCTTTATTGATATTTTGATATTTTTACTCTATGTGTTTCAGGTTGCCTCACCTACTGCTGATCATACATTTAAAGACTTGAGGAGCACGAAAGTGGCAACTGTCGCGACCCCGAGACCGAGGAAACGGAGACTGAAGGCCAGATTCTTGCTGAAGAAGAGACAAGGGGGTGCTTAGATGAAATCATTGTAATAATATTATAATAACATAATATTATAAGTCATAGTATAAAGTGCATGTTTTCAAAGACCGGTTTCACTGTTAACAGCTGAAGAAAGAGCAACATAAGTGAAAGACAAGATTGTGTCAGCGAAAATATCATTTCAAGAGCAAACTGTAGAATGATAGAATGTGCAACATCGTAATATAAACTCCTTCATGACGATGTCTAAGACTAAAGTTCCTTGTAAATGTAAACGTCTGAATCAATTGAATTGAATTCTTCATTTAAATCGGCTGTTATATCTTTGGTTTGGATTAATGTTTTTTGATACGATTAAAACTTTCTTTCGAAGAATACTACTATAGCTTCCTATATATACTATGCAACTATAATTTATATATATATACATAGTTGCACAGCTAACACGTGCACACTGCACGTGCAATTAATATCGGATCGAAATTTTGATCGGTTTTGTTGATATTACGTTGTGTTCAGTGCGAGATATATTTTTATGGGCTGTATCATGTATGTTAAGTTGTGATGCAGATTGATATTTTTTGAAGCAATAAAAACTGACTACCAAAGAATACTACTACAGTATTACTGTATTACCTTAAGTTTAACTTACCTCGTGTGACCATGGGCTTTTTTATTATATATGTATATATTTATAATAAACCTGTCTATCGAGGTCTTTCGATTATAAATTAGGAAATAAGTGGTTTGATTTAAAGATCCGGTAATTAATTAAATGGTCCAAAACTTAAAAAGTTGCAACACAAGTAAGCCTGCAGTGCAATCCGGTGAGAATATACTTACTTTTATGAATGACCCCTAATGCTAATGGCAATTGGCATGGCTCCTGTTAAATGTATAGTTACAACTTTAAATAACTGAAAGATTGTAATCACGTTATGAATGAGGCCTGATTATGACATTACACAAGCTGCGAGGAGATCATCACTTCCTTCACTGTATTTCACGGAGTGCCTAGGGGTCGTTCACTTATTACTTTGTTCCGTTTAAAGAAGCTTACATTAGCGAAATGTATCCACAATAGCTGTTTTTGAAGTGGATTGCGTAGAGGGGAGGGGGAGTCTGAAATAAACAAGCATTGGCTTACGTAACATGCATATGGTATATGAATATATCATGGTACCGGTCTCTTATCTCTTTGCAGCAAAAATGTTATATCAAATTTCTGGCACTATGTGCGCTTTCTGAGCAAATGTTTGTCGGGTATTCATTTTGTCCAAGATTTACTGATTTGAGTTTGGTGTTAGACGCTGATTTTGAATCATCCCACATGATGAGATATATGCATGAAAGGTGATTTAATATTAAACAAAAAATATTCGCCATCAACCACTGCAATTTGACGTATAGTGGTCATCATTTCAACAACTACCCTATTTTAGTTGTTGCCTCCCACGTAATTAGAATGATTTGCTCTACATGTTAACGGTTGGCTTGAACAGTTCAACTATTAACTGTTGATGCCCCACCTTATGTGTCGTTGCCACTCAATACCGTGTGATCTGTCGTTCGTCCCCGATGGTGTGCTGAAATTATAGAGAACCTTTTATTGAGCTATAAAATATTTATAAGAATTATTATAGAATAAACGGTAAGTATTAAGTTTTCGATGTGTGAAACTAAATCATTACATTATAGTATGTTTTGAAAATTGTGTGTTTGTAATCTTGAGATTTTCAATTCAAATAGTTACCTCACGTTGCCTTGCCAGTGTATTCCATTTGATTTTAAGTTTGTTCTTGATACGCCACTACTGAAGGAGCTCCCCATCCCCCTTAGTTCTAGTGAGCAGTTGAGATATTTAGTCCTCTCGCTTTATATTATCTTATTATACTAGCAGGAACCCGTATAATAATCCTGGACCAGGCAAAAGTCCTGCTCACATTGGGACACTGGCTAAGTTTCTCGATGTAATCCGACTTATATGACCCTAAATAACACAATTGACTCGGGTACACTTTTTCACCAGTGGGGCATTTCTCGGAATCACGCCCTTTTTGACCGCACCCATATCGCGTCCCCCACTATAAATTATCTCGGCTTCTGATTGAGATACAGACCTCAGCCATGAACCAAAATGTGCCTAAGATGCATGTTTATATTAGTGCTATGAAGAGACTTAAGGCCTAAGAGACTTAGTTTTTGAGAAATCGCCAAAAATCCGATTTTACTATACTATCAGTCTCGAGAGTAACAATTATCACACTTATTTCAAGATATCTCCGCTTCTGATTGGAGCTAAGCGCTCATCTTGGGCATTAAAATGATCAAAATCATCATATTGAGTGGGGTAGAGCATGGTTTTAAAGTCTTCAGACTTCAGGTTGTTGAGTTATTAGGTCAGATCCCATTTTTACGCTCTCGCGAATAGCGATTGATGCACTTATTTCAAGATATCCCAGCTTCTGATTGGAGTTTAACGCTCATCTTGGGCATTGAAATGATCAGAATCATCATATTGATTGGGGTAGAGCATGGTTTTAAAGTCTTCAGACTTCAGGTTGTTGAGTTATTAGGTCAGATCCCGTTTTTACGCTCTCGCGAGTAGCGATTGATGCACTTATTTCAAGATATCTCAGTTTCTGATTGGAGTTTAACGCTCATCTTGGGCATTAAAATGATCAGAATCATCATATTAAGTGGGGTAGAGCATGGTTTCAAAGTCTTCAGACTTCAGGTTGTTGAGCTATTAGGTCAGATCCCATTTTCACGCTCTCGCGAGTAGCAATTGATGCACTTATTTCAAGATATCCCAGCTTCTGATTGGAGTTTAACGCTCATCTTGGGCATTAAAATGATCAGAATCATCATATTGAGTGAGGTAGAGCATGGTTTTAAAGTCTTCAGTCTTCAGGTTGTTGAGTTATTAGGTCAGATCCCATTTTTATGTTCTCGCGAGTAGCGATTGATGTACTTATTTCAAGATATCTCAGCTTCTGATTGGAGCTAAGCATTCATCTTGGGCATTGAAATGGTCAGAATCATCATATTGAGTGGGGTAGAGCATGGTTTTAAAGTCTTCAGACTTCAGGTTGTTGAGCTATTAGGTCAGATCCCATTTTTACGCTCTCGCGAGTAGCAATTGATGCACTTATTTCAAGATATCCCAGCTTCTGATTGGAGTTTAACGCTCATCTTGGGCATTGAAATGATCAGAATCATCATATTGAGTGGGGTAGAGCATGGTTTTAAAGTCTTCAGTCTTCAGGTTGTTGAGTTATTAGGTCAGATCCCATTTTTATGCTCTTGCGAATAACGATTGATGCACTTATTTCAAGATATCTCAGCTTCTGAGTGGAGCTGTGGAGATAAACGTTCATCATGGGCATTAAAATAGTAAAAGTTATCAAATTAAGTAGCATCGAGCATGGTTTTAAAGTCTTTAGATTTTAGGTTATTAAATTATTAGGTTAAACCCTATTTTTATGCTCTCGCAAGAATGGTCACTGCAATGGTGAAAATATTTATTAAATGAACTGTAATTAATCGCCAGGAAAAAGTTGTTTGCCAAGAAATATCAGTAAAATGTCACTAAAACCTCTAGCACTAGGAACATGCTTTACCCCACTTAATATGATCATACTGGCTATTTCAATGCCCATGATAAGCACTTAGCTTCAATCAGAAGCTGCGATATCTTGTAATAAGTGTGTCCATCGCTACTCGCAAGAGTGTAAAAATATGTTTTAACCTAATAATTCTACAACCTGAAGTCTGAAGACTTTAAAACCATGCTCTACCTCACTCAATATTATGATTCTGACCATTTCAATGCCCAAGATGAATGCTTAGCTCCAATCAGAAGCTGAGATATCTTGAAATAAGTACATCAATCGCTACTCGCGAGAACATAAAAATGGGATCTGACCTAATAACTCAACAGCCTGAAGTCTGAAGACTTTAAAACCATGCTCTACCCCACTCAATATGATGATTCTGACCATTTCAATGCCCAAGATGAGCGCTTAGCTCCAATCAGAAGCTGAGATATCTTGAAATAAGTGCATCAATCGCTACTCGCGAGAGCGTAAAAATGGGATCTGACCTAATAGCTCAACAACCTGAAGTCTGAAGACTTTAAAACCATGCTCTACCCCACTTAATATGATGATTCTGATCATTTTAATGCCCAAGATGAGCGTTAAACTCCAATCAGAAACTGAGATATCTTGAAATAAGTAGGGCCTGTCGTGATATCATGGATCGCTTAGGTTCCACCAGGATCTGGTAGTCCTCATAATTCTGCGGCCTCTATGTGTCGTCATCTCGCACAACTCCGAAAAACCGTTGTGAGTTTGGCATGTGAAAATTTGCAGCCTTCCAGACATCGATTGGGTTAACAAGTTGTCGTACGTCACCTCAAGATCGGGCGACAGGGGGCTGAACAGGCCAGAACCCAATTGATTGGGTCTGAGGTCACGTGGTTATGAGCCTGAGGTCACGTGACTATGACGTCACCAGAGCTCGTTCTCCGTTTCCCGCTCTTTGG